CCCCCCCCCCCAATTCCCCGATGACAAGACAACGCGTCATGATCAGAAGGTCATCGGTAAACCCCAGTGACCCCTGAGTGACCTCTGCGTGTCAATTCGTCCTTCTCAGTTATTGACACTTTTTTTTCTGCGAACACTTTCTTGGCGTAATGAATTTAATCACCGTAATGAAGGTTGAAATAACTAAATAAAAGGACAAGATATTCTCTTTTTGTGTGTTCTTCAAAATCGAAAAGTTTAAAAAAATGTGTTTTTCTATTACTTAAAAAAAAAAAATTATTTAAAGAAAATAATTTTCAAACCAAATAGAGAGAAGCTAAAAAAAAAAAAAAAAAAAAAAAAGCCTGTTCCAAAACCCTGGATTTGTATGAATAGTTATAGTGTATAATAATAATGTAGTAGGCCTTAAAGACTAGAGATTAACTGAATTGATACAGTTGTCAAGTGTTGTCTTACTCTTAGTTTTACTCTTAATCAAGACTTGTAGTCAATTTCAATAATAATTACATTACATTAAATTATATTTACTCTTAAATTTAAGACAGTATCTATGACGACTTTTAATGGTAAGCCCTTTTAATTTGAAACATACTTTTCAACATGAAATGATTCATATGGAACCAACAAAACTTTGGAACCAAATAGACGGATGCTCTTATTTTCTCTCATTGTGAATTTTTTTGTATCGTCATGGGTGGTCTTCTGCCTTTATTTAACTTAAAGTTTCACTCATCATAATTTCCGTCACCAACAGTTTATTTTATTAGTCTAATATTAAGTGGTGATATTGATTCGCATATCAAATTAATACACCAATATTTAAACGAATATTATTAACTCGTCTTTGTTACTTTTAGGCCTAATGAACTTCAATTTTAAGGTTGAATAAATAAAACTAGACAACTGACTTTTATCTTTATTCTACTAAAGTAGAAAACCTAATGTAAAATAAAAATTATTTAAACAAAAACTTGCACAATAAGTGTTAATATAGCCAATTTTTTTTTTTCATTCTACTCTTAAGTGGCTGCGTACACCGTGGCAGTGTACCTAGCAAAACCTTGGCAAGTTGTACTTAGGCATGTGTACACAGAAACAAAAAAATTACAATTTGCCTCTCCTTGACATATGGTTTTTAATTTATAATAAATATGATCTTGTGTGGTCTTATGGTTAACGCTAGATGATATCGTACATGAGACGGCATGCTGATCGAGTTTTACTAGGCCAAACTCTTCTATGTTTTTTCCTCATCTTAATTAAAAATATATTTTATTATTATTATTTTCATTTGTAACAAAAGTATTAATGTTTATTTTATTATGTAGCAAGTTAAAAATACGTTTAGCCGATTAGTAGGTGTTTAAACTTGAACAAGATGTGCCAGCCTTTAAACTCATAATCCATTAAACTAAGTCATACCCCCGGCTGCCACAAACGTTTTAGTGAAACCAATTATTAGCACAAACTCTTGGGATCAAAGCAAAGTGATATTTGCAGTGATAGTGCTAGCATTCCCAGGTTCAGCCAGCATGATGATCTTGCTCAAGAATTTGAAAGAAGAAGACATAATGTATACTGAGAATAAGAAGAAATGAGAATACAAATATAAATTGCATACAGTTACTGATTTAGTAATGGAACACTTATATTTACAGAATTTCTGACAATGTTACCATAATCTTGACGTAATTCGTTTCATATTGACATGGCATGTGCCATTCGCAGTGTAAAACACAATGTTGTCGAACAGAAACACACCATTCGCGTGGACAGGATTACCGATATTTCAAGGATTGTTTTTTTTTACAAAAAATCATCCGTGCCAGGGGCGAGTTATGGGCAGAGCCGTCGCTTAGGTATTGCAACACCTACGGCTGCAGAGTGCCTAGGATATTTAAGGACCCTCGGATATTTAAGGGGCCCAAAGTTGTGATGCAGAACAAATTTAAACTATCAGCAGGGTTACAAAATCAAAAAGTGACTGTGGGGCTACACAAGGGGTTGTCCATAAAGGACGTTCGCATAAAATACGCAAATTTTCCACCCCTCCGCTTTTCTGCATGTTGCTAACCCCCCCCCCCCCCCCCAGTGTTCAGATGTCCGCAGGCGCTTACGACAATTTACAGTGCGAAATGACAGGAAATATAATAACTATCACAAAGAGCACAGGGTCACTTGATTTAAATTACGTACGCACTGTGGCGGGATGGGGTTGTTGATTTTGGATTTTTTTTGCTTACTGGTGCGTATGGCAGTAGGTGGGGGGGGGGGCGAAAGTACGGTACATTAAATAATTATCCTAAATTTCTGACATTATATTACCTATAATAAAGCTGTCATATAAATATATGGGAAATCTATGATATTTAATTACTGTTAAAAGTCTTTAACAAATCACCTCAAAGTTTCTCATCTATCATCATATTTTTGCGTCGTGTTCACATTTGCTTGAGGTCAAAACAGTAATAGTTAACCTCGTAAAAGTTTAATTTCAAGCCCACCGTACGTGATTTTGTGTTCGTGACTTATTTGAAACTTAATTATTTCGTTGGACTGAACAGAACAGATAGACTTGCGATAAAGAGGTGTCAGGACCCACGACACAAATTTGAACACATCACGGTAGTGCTTTCCAAGTATTTTTTTAAACCACACGCCCAACCTGATCAAATGCATGTTATATGCTAATGCCCCCCTCCCCCACCTACACAAATTAGTGGAAAAAGGTCTTTTTTTGGCTTTAATATTCACAGTTGTTAGATAAAATTTGCAATAAGTGAACATATAATTATATTGCAATACAGGGTGGGCCAATAAAAATGAGAACATCTCGTAAAATGTGATTTAATCACATTAAATTTAGTTGAACCAGGCGCTAAATTAAACAGTGAATATTATTGTGAACAAGTTCTCAGAAGAGGATTGTTGCCTGACATTCAAGCGAAATATGGTAACCATAACTGGACATTGCAGCATGACGGATCTCCATCTCACACAGCCAGATCTACAATCAAATTTCTTCGTCCGGAGAATATTAACTTCATCGAGTCAGACATGTGGCTACCGAACAGCCCAGATTTAAACCCAGTAGATTATGCCATATGGGGTGCTTTGCAAGAAAAGGTCTACCTTCGGCGAAAATTTAACCACAGTTGAGCAGATCAAGTTGGCGATAATCGAGAAATGGCGAAATCTAGGGCACCTTTTCATTGACAGAAGCATAAACGAGTGGCGTCAACGCTTGGAAAAAGTCGATGAGAAGCAAGGAGGACACATTGAACATGATTTCTGATTAGCTAAATATTTTGCAAAAAAATATTCCATGAAGAATTATAATTTATTAAATTATATTTTGAAATAACTCATATGCTACGAGATGTTCTCACTTTTATTGGCCCACCCTGTATATTAGATAATTAATTAGTTAACTTAAACAAATCACGTTTTAACATTATACTCCCCACCCCATTTCGAAGCAAATAGATTTCGAATATACCAGAGGTATATGCCCCCCACCACCGGGTGGGCCACCCACTGTAGCGGAAAAAAAAAAAACCAGTTAGATAAAAATGGCGTCTCTCCATTTAAATCAAAAAGTGATGCCCAGAGTGGACCGCTTCTTCAACATCCTTATCATATGCCATATGCCACTGTCTCAGATAATAGTATATGCCCTCTAATAGTTATAATATAAAAATTGACTCCTTTTGGGGGAATGAAGGGTATGCCATAAGTTAGAATATGCCGGGGTAAAATTGCGTTTCTATTTTACCTACGAAACCGCACGATACGACCAGGAAAATACTAAAAAATGCTTCTTACAAGTTTCTTGCCTCAAATGTGAAGGATCATGACATACTCAATATCTCCCTCCCAGCAACAACAAAAAATAAAAAATTAAAATAAATAAATAAATATAATATATATTTCGTTAAAAAGATATTACAGTTACAGGAACGTTGTTCCCATGCGTTCATGCAGGAATCGAGCCCTGCGCAAAATACAAATACAAGTACTAATCTTGTTTAATCTAGCGGGTATTAAATGAATAAAAAAAACTTGTTTTAACAAGAGTATAACATAAATTTTACAAGTAGGCCTACCAGTCAGGCCAAGGCCAAGGAGTTGAAGACTGGCAAAGACCATGGTTTGCTAGGTACACAGCCGCAGTGTACGTAGTGTCTGGCTTTTTAGTTTATATCGGAAGTGGTACTTACTCCGAAACAAACAAAATAGGTCTGTATGCAGTTTTTTTTCTACACAACAATAGAATGGCTGATAATCGAAACGAAGCACCCCTTATTATTAATGGATACACAGGTAGGTTTTATTTAATTAAAATTGATTTAAACAATGGGGACGCCTGCCACTATTTTATCGAATTTCACGAATGTATCCCTAAATCGATCCCTCAATCTAACCTAAGCCTAAAGCCTAAACCCTAATTCACTGCAACTATAATAAACACACATAATTATTATAACTACTAATTTTCGCCGTAAATAAATACTTTATAAAATGTTCAGGTTGAATGATCTAATTTAGGTACTTTGATTAGAAAATTAAAACTTTTTTGTAAAAATAAACCAATGGCATAGTTGAATAGAGCTAATTTTTAAAGAATTATAACACCAAAATCATATTTTTAGCTGTTGTCACTGTTGTAGTTTTAAAGTTATGAATTTTTAAAGTTCGACTTAATTTGTCCTTTTTTAACATGAAACATGGACTGCATCTCCACATTCTGTGACCAGATTCTGCTGTTTGCGTTACGAGCTCTTGTTTTAATGATAATTTTATTTTCAGAACTAATGCTGTATTTAAAATAATTTTAATAATGTTAACAATTATAAATAAATTGTAGCTTATCTAACTATGCACCATTTATATCAGTAAATTTAATATAATGTATTAATATATGGCTTTTCTGTTTACCAAATCTACGACGTCTATTATACCGATATATGCTATATTGTCTATATAAGGCAACTCATGCCATGCCCTAATTGCTAAAATACTGTTTGGGAACTATTGAATTTTCAACTTTGGTACATGACTAATTAATTAAAGCTTTCCCTGACCTAGTTTAATAGTTTTTGCACACTGCAAACTTTTATGAATGAAAACTCTGAGATAGTAGTAAATAATAGCCATTATGATTATGCAAGTCATCGTGAATGGCCACCATGACATTTTGCACACAGCAAATTATGATCATTTATAATATGGACTCTACCGGGTTTTTTAACCTCAAATTAAAACAGTATTCTTTCAATAACATTTAAGTTAATTCTAAAACATAAGTTATCAAATATTTTGATATAAATAGTGGAAATAATTGCATATTTCCTAAGTAACGGCATCTTCCGTCAGTGAAAGGGGGCATGGCCACTTCCTTATCGAAATTGGGCTGAGCTACATTACCATATAGGGGTTTACTCAAATGAGCATAGCGAGTGACTGACATGTCCTAACTCAATGAAAATTGACACAAATACACATCGATAGATAACACAGAGTAAGACTTATTTTTAAAGACATAAAAGTTGAACTTCTACACGAATTTTATAGTGAAAGATGCCTTATATTTAATGGGGAATCTCAAAATAAAGGTCGATTGAAAAATTAAAACAAATCAATGTAAATGTAGGCCAAGATGTCTACCTAATTATAAGGCCGGAAATGGAACTCAAATATATGTCGGAAGTACTCATTTCATAATAAATAGACAAACACATCAGAAAATAAAAAACTTGGATTTTTCGGCGCCGATTTCTATTTCCGATACACAAAAAGTAGTAGTCTCCCTTGTTTCATCGAAGTATCTAATCTGATTATGAATATCAATATGAATGAATGAGAAATTAAGAAATGAACACATACTCAGTATGCTGCGTTGTAAAGTAGCCCTTCTTGCTAACTTGTTTACTCTGTTAAATGGAGGGTAATTTTGCAGTTCAGGTGCATATATTATTTCTGATCGAATTTCATATTATCACATGTAAACTTACGTGTATTCTTCATTAAATTAAACCCAGGCAGTATTAGTTTAGTTAACACTAAATTTTACAGAACTAACTTTTCTTTTTACTGATTTTTACAGCCTCCATATGGGACATATCCGGTAGCATAAACGATACCTCCATTTTATTTTTTTTTTAAAATTCACCCCACATGCCAGATTGCAATGTTCCATTTCCTTGTTTTTTTCAGGCCTCATAATTTAGATGATGGCTAAAGGGCTTTTAACTCTTTCGATGGGGAATAACACACACTGCGTTCATCCGCCATTCTCAAATGCACGGACCAACACGCTGTGCGTTGTTTCAATTTCATGTTTGTTTCTTTGCTATTCCTCGGTTAAACTTTGTAAAGAGCTATTTTTAAATAAGACTTTTACATAGAAGAGCGGTACTTCATTGTTTATAAGCGAAACCAGGGTTTATTTGTTGTCATTTGAAGCATAATTTTAAAGATTTTCTTAGCTTTTGTTTTCTTCTATTGCTATGGCTACTTAGGCCCTAGTTGGTGAGTAAGTTTCCTATAGGATTAACAGCTTAAAAAGCATTGGAATTGTTTTATACTATTTCTTTTGATAGTGAAGATGATTTATATTTAGATCCATCAGATGATTCCGATAGTAGTAGTTTTAGAGGATTTGAGTTATAGACGTGAAGATGAGGTATGCCTACATCATAGGGTTTGGGGAAAAAATGGTTTAGCATAAAATATTTTTAAATTTTATGGTTCTTTTCTGTGATTTATTTTATTTAAACTGAAAAATTAAGTTTACAAACATATAGTCCTATTAATTATCTTTCATTTGATACCAAGTTTAGTCTTATAAACTAAAGAATAATATTTTAAATATTTTTTAATAAATCCAACCTCTCACTCTTTTTCACTCTTTGAAAAAAATGTACATTTTTTTCGATTTAAAAATTCCGCAGCAAAAGAGTTAAAAATGTTCATTTCCAAAAGTCATCACAAGCCACGGCGTGTATATTGGCTAGTTTTAGGAAAAATTAAAATTATGAGTTCATTACCCTTTAGTACTGGTTTTTGAATATGGATAATCTACTGTATGTGTACTAACTTTGATCTAGTTCCATTCACCCATGGCTATGCATGAGCCTTTGTATGGGATTATATTTATACACACATTAAGAAAAAATAATAATTTTGGGCCCCCTATAAAATTACAGAACATCTAATTAATTTCAACTCCCCTCCCCCCCCCATTCTTCTCGTGAATGTGCCTACAATTTGAAAATTTCGTTTAGCATACCAACTTATAGAGGATAAAAAATCTGGTAACAGGATGAAAATTGAAAAATACAAAACAAATGGAGCTATGAAAGGTTGGGGGATGTTCAAAGACGCTTGAGAAATAAAATAAAACGAAAATAAGCGCTGTAAAACTATCACTGCCTGGGTTTAATTTAATGAAGAATACACATAAGTTTACATGCAATAATACAAAATTCGATCAGAAATAATAAACACACCTGAACTGCAAGATTACCAAATGGAGTAATTATGTTTTCATTTTTCAATTAAAAAGTTATGATTTTTGTCATTAATAAAAATCAACCATTTTTTTTACTATGGCCATGGACATTATAAAAAAGAGTCTTAATTTTGTGGCCACTTTTCAAAATGTTTTTAGGAAAAGGCACATAACTTAAACTTTATAGCTTTATTATAGCAGGGGCAGCATGAACAAATAAATAATATTAAGCTTTGTAGAAGTGCTAAACATTGTATTATCAACAATGCTGGGTGGCCGAGTGGTCTAAAATGAGCCAATAACAAGTTCATGGTCTGGAGTTCAATCCCCTCTTAAGTCAAGTCAAGCAAAAAACAAATCTGGGTAGAAGAGACTCATTAACCTTGGATGGCAACTCATCCAAGAGAAGGAAAGTCTGAATTCAAACCCAGAGATAGCGCCCCATAGCAGGCGAACATTGAAACAATGAATCATTCCGACAACTCCTGCGATGCCCCTGATGCCATTGCTGAGAGCGCTGTGATAGAAGTACTATATAAGTATTCAATCAATCAATCAAAACATTTCTCTAACTTCAAAAAGTAAAAAAATAAAATAATGTAAATGTAATTAAAAACGTTAATCACTACAACAACAACCCCCCCCCCCCCCCCCCAAATTTTTAAAAAAAAAAAAAAAAACCAAATAAATTATGGCTTATGATGACCTAGGGCAGTGGTTCTCAACCTGGAGGTCGCAAGACCCTTTCCCAGGGGTCGCCTAAGACCATCTGAAAACACATATGCTCTACAGCTATGAAGTAGCAAAGAAATAATTTTGTTACTTGGGGTCGCCACAATATGAGGAACTGTATTAAAGGGTCGCAGCATTAGGAAGGTTGAGAACCACTGACCTAGGGACTTTGGTATCACCCAGAAACACCAGAAAAACAGATATTGTAATTTCGTTGTCAAAATGGCAACCTCCAATTTTTTATTAACAAGGGTAGCGTGAGGTGTCTTTCTAAAAAAAGAAAGGTTTCAAGAGAATTTTCATACTATGTGAAGAAATGTTCCAGTTTTTACAAAACTCTAAACCAGTAATGAACTCAAAATTCTCTGTTCAGTTTTCTTATATCCCTGTCATCAAGGGGTTGACATAATTGAATTCTTGAATCCCATCAACATGAGGTTGCAATTACAAGTCAAGAGATCTCAGTCTTCATTGTCATGAAACATTGACAGCTTTCAAAATGAAGCTAGACCTTTGGGATTCAAGGTTATAGTAGAAGAACTTGGCCCCATTCTCCATAGCTGAACACATATATTGATGCAAATGAGTTTATTGTCGATGACAATATCCTTGATGTGATGAAACAACATTTATTAATTATTTTAGCGAAGAAATTTCTCATTATTTTCAAGATCTTTAAGAATAAGAAAAAAACTATTGCTTTGTCAACAACCCTTTGTTGTATACTCCTTTAGTGATCTGCCAGTTTATTGATTTGATAGGTGATGTGGGGGAGGGGGGTGCAAAACATGTATTCCTTGAAATTTGTTGAGTGATTTTTGGATTGAAATGGCGGCACAGTCCTATCCCCACATTGTAAAGATTGCTCTAAGTTTGCTGATTCCATTTGCAAGTGTGAGACAACTTTTTTCAAACTACTATCAAAACAAAATCCTGAAACAGTTAAGACCCGAAAATAACATAAGAGTTTAACTGAACTGGCCAAAACAAAGCCTAACCTAGAAGAAATGGTTACGGCATAGCAGTTGCACCAATCCCATTAAGTATCTATTTGATGACTAAGTTTTGCCATTTTCTGAATAAACAATTATTTTTCAAAAATATTTTGTTAACAGTACCGTAGCCTAAATGTTAACTTTATTGTAAAGGGTCAGCGAGCATTAAAAAAATTGTTAAGAGACTATCACGCAAGAAATCCTAAAAAAAGTTTGAGAACCACAGTAGCAAAAGGAAAATATCTAACATTAATATAAATATTATGGTGATATTCCAGTTTAGGTGCCAAAATTCACAACATGTAATTAATGATTAAACATAATTAAGCACTTTAAAAGCCATTGTAACTCATGTCAATACGTGATCAAAGCTGATAAGATCACTTTCCCTCTGGAAGTATTCAGAATAAAAGATGGCTTTACCTGCACAAGTCGCAATGTGATTTACACCATAATTTGCAAAAAGTGCGGTAAATTATGCGTATGGGAGACAGGTTGTCGCCTTGGAGACCGGTTCAGAGAACACCTCTATAACATAAATAAACAAGCTCTCTGTCCGGTCTCCAAACATTTCAATAGCCCTAACTGCTATAAAAGACCACTAATTATTATTATTATTATTATTATTACCTTAGACATCGCAGTTACTGGTATATTGTATACTAGTAACACAAGAGATAGAATCTACATGGAGAATAAATAATTAATAACAAGATTTGGAAAGTTGTCTCCATATGGGATAAACCAAATCCACAATTTTACCTAGCTTCCATGTCTTTTTTCTGTTTGGTTTTTACAAATTTGTTCAAATCACTTCCTTTCCACTCTCATTTACTTTGTTTTTGTCTGGTTTTTGCGCCCTCTCCTATTTTTATTATTTTTTAGGTAGAATATATGTGTATATATATATTATGTAAATTTAATTTATACTTATTTAAATGTTTTGTTGTTGTACTGATGAAGTCATGTGCCGAAACCTTAACTTGTGTATTATGTATAATTATTATTGAAGCTTAAATTATATTGTTATATTGACACATATTGTTGGTGTCTAATTAATTTAAGCACTTTATGCATAAAACAGTATGAAAGTCATCACAGATAATTGTCAGCAATCATAGCCAAGAAACGTCAGAACATATAATTCTTGCATTCTTTCTTAGCTAAGAAACAGATGTATGACTGACTACTAGTGCAGCTAAAAGTAAAAGAACAGGGGCTTTATTGTAGTTTCAGTTTGTTGTACTTTCACTGAGCAGTGAACTGGACTGGGATTTTCTTTGTTACACTTTCAGTGTGGTTAGTTAAGCTAGGTGAAGGCCTAGGTATGTTAATTATTACTTAGAATTACTATACTATATTATATTAGGACTAGGCCCTATTACTAGGTCTTGTATAAACACTACCTGTCCTAACTCAGTAATGACATCAGTAATTTACTCTTGACTGTGATGGGCTACTGTGTAAGTGTATGGGGTCATAGACTACTATTTAAAGTAAATAAAATAAAGTACATCATCTGTGTTTCAACAATTTTCAAACTAGACAACCAGAAGTTGCACAATGTTCCACACATTTGAATTTGGGCACTTAAACTGGACAAAATTCCAATATTATATTATCCCTTACAGTGGGTTTCTTTTTCTAAAAACTACATTTTGATCAGAATCTTTAAACATAAGTTTTACATTTATTCTTATTTGTTGTTTATTGTTTTGTCTTGTCTGATGAAGAAGACATTTAATGGAAACATCCCTGTAATTGTCTTGTCTGATGAAAAAGACATTTAGTGGGAAACATCCTTGTAATTGTCTTTTTTTTTCAGCCTAAACATACCTTGTTTCACTATTTATTTTCAGAAGTTGTAAACTAGAATGGAAACACTTGAGCCAATAAAGAATATAGCATATATGTAGTAATAAATTAAAAGGCAGACTAAGCCCTACTTTAAATTAGGAATTTAAACTTAGTAGGCCTGGCCTACTCAGGTTTTTAAAAAGTTTTGAACAAAACCTCGTTTTTAGACTAGCGTAATACTCATGCCTATTTTAATAATAAGTTAATATTAAAATAAATATAGTTAATACCTAACAACAATTCCTGTATATGACTAGGCCTAGAACAGCACATTTTGCAATTAATTAGGCCTTATCTATTTTATTTTACTTTTATCAGTTCTACAAGTAAAAACAAGTGAACGAAGCCATGCAAACCACCATCTGTTCATCAAGGAGCATGTCGCTACCCATCAGTGTATAGAATGGCCTCAAGGAAGAACACTTATTGTGTATAATGTGTCACCTTACTACAAAGAGGTTAGATTTAAAATTAATAATTGAATTGATATTCTTTCTTAGTAGTATTTTTCTGCTGTCTCCACATTACTTGATCTAACTTAAAGCTAGGTAAGGCCGGTAAGGTATATCTAAACACTCTATAATACAGTTTACAAATGCACATTTTCAGTTAACATAGGTACATGGATATGATGTATATATCTAATAAAATCATTTTTAATTAGGCCTAGTTTATAATATTTATTTTTATCAATGATGTATTTTTTACTCATTATTTATTGTTTTCATAGGATAACATGAGAGTACTTCTCCAGGGTTGTGGAGACATTCTTAGAGTGTACATACAAGCAAAACCATCATCAGCTCCAGTGAAAAAAAGTTCTTTTTCTATTAATGCTAGCAAAAAGGTTTGTTTTTATCTTTATCCTTACTTATTAATTTGACAACAATGAGTTGAAAAAAAAAGTAAAAAGTTTTTGATGTGAGGAACACAGTGCTTAAAGCTTATATTTTTTTGAACTGTCATCCAAAAGCGTATCATTTTTCTTTCTGCACTGTAGTTGGTGAATTTTAAGCTAGATTTATGATAAATGCCACTATTATAAACATTTAACAAATGTACTCCAGACTTATTTTTTGTCCTCAAAAGGAAGAAAGATTTGTTTGGCACTGTGCATGCTGAGAATGTAAGAGGCCAGCATTTTAAATATTGAATAGTCTCTGTATCGTATTATTATTATGAGAAAATTGCTATTTTCAAATCTTTTTGCTTTTTTTTTTTTTACAGTCAGCGCAGGTGGCCTACATTGTTTTTAAGAAGGCCAGTGGTGTAAAGAATGCTTGTAAATTGGCTTATGACCAGATTCGACTCATGTCTGACGACAAGACAGTAATACTTTCTGGCTTAAGAGGTGAGATCAACATTCATATTTGCTTTAAATATTTAAAATTATATTAACATGTAGATTCTCTTTATATACTTTAACAGTATCCATTCAACATGACATCATTTATAAAAGTTATTTTTCCTCTCATATTGGAAGCATACATGGAGGATTACAACAACATACTTGATGTGTCTAGATTAGAGAAGGAAGCTGAAGCTTACATGGCTGCATACTATAAAAGAAAAGATGAGGTAAATATTGTTTTAAAAAGTTGTCATTATTACATTACCCGCCAAGCGGGTTAATTATGTTAAGAGTCATTTAAAATCTTGAGATTAACTTCAAGACATTTCAATCAACATGTGCTGAAATTTGTTGTTATATTTTGACTATTGCATTTTTGTATTTAAATACAGTCTGATAAGAGAGACAAGGAGCAGGCTGGGTTACCGGACGAAGATGGGTTTATAAAGGTGACACGGCATGGCAAGAACAAAGGCACCAGGAGGACAGAGGAGACACAGAAGAAAGGCCATGATCATATACAAAAGAGAAACGTTAAAAATGTGAGATATAAATCTAACATTATATTTCTGGGTGACTTATTGGTCTGTTAGTAAGTAAAGTTTCCATTAGTTAGCTTGCAACTTACAGCTGGTGGCATTTTCATATTAAATAACCCTGACTGTATGGGGAGCTCATCTATTTGCAAGGCTAGCCGAGACACCCCGTTTATTCATTCAAACAAATCATCATAAATATTTTCACTCTGGTTCATGAATGTTAACAAAACAACAGTCCAGTGATTCCATTAAATATTATTCAGAGTTATACATACAATTTTTTTCTGTAATCTTTTCACTCCATATTCAAAAGAATTCATTCAAGGTTGTGTGCACCAAGTAATCTATTATTGTAAAACCCATTGTATTTGTATTGATTTGTGTCATGTAACATAAAAGGAGTTAAGTTTTAAAAAAATGAAATTCGAACTTGATGATTGGGAATATTTTGTACTGGAAAGGTAGGAAGAAAGGAATTAGATTAAAAACAATTTAATCTAAAATATGTACAGTGAAATACGTTTAACGTGAAAACGCTTAACTTGAAAAATCGGTTAACACAAAATAAAATTGCCGTCCCGACAAAATACCAGGCACCAGGTATTTTCTTAATTTTTTTTTCTTTTAACACGAAATAAAAATCGCTTAACAACAAAATTCAGTAAAGATTTTGCTTCTCTGTATGAATTTATCAGAAAATCTTCAAAGCATTTTTGTTAAAATATAATTTAATTATAAATTGATTTTTTTCCCCTTCACTTTCTCAGGAGCTGAAAGACTTTTACACCTTTCAGTTTAGAGAAACAAAGAGGAGTTGTGAGTATTGTAATTATTTACACTTTCCATCAATCCCTGTGGCTCTACAACCTGTTTAAGGCTTTGACCTGCCCACCATTTCCTTCCACCCAGACCTAAGCAAGGCTTTTTTTTTTCCATGCTTGAATTCCCAGCTGTTGTCGATCTTTTTCCACATTGTATAACCATCTAGGCCAAAGTCTGCCTTTGAGCCATTTTCCTCCAGGGTTTTGCTGGTACACCCTTTTCATTCTTCTGTCATTCTTTCTAAGAGTCCCGCCCAGCGCAGCCTGGCATTTTCTATTTTTATGTGTGTGATCCTGATACAGTCTATACGATTTCTGGTTTGTTTGTATTCTCCATCCTATTTTCATCCTTTGTTGGTCTGTATATTTTCCGGAGAACTTTTCCCTTCCATTGGTTTCAAAGGTTTTCTGTCCTTTCTCTTGCGTATGGTACAACTGGCCTGATTACAGTTTTATAAATAATTGTTTCTTTTCTTGTAATGTTTTTACTTTTGAGTATTTTGTGACTACTGAAGTATGCCCCGTTTCCGTCTGATATTCTTTTTTAAATTTCTTTAGTGATTCATTTCTTTAATTTATTGAGGATCCTAGATATTTGAATTGATTTCCTTTTTCAAAAGGGTTATTACTAATTTTAATGGTTTCATCTGTCTGTTCCTCTCTTAACATAGTCATGCATTTTGATTTTTGGTTAACTTTCAGTCCTACTTGTAATGGGTCTTCTAAATCAATAAAAACAACTGTACATATTCTGGTAAGGGCTTCAGCTTACCTTCTTAAAGCCCCAGCTAGTACAGAGGCAACCAGCTCCATCTACTGGGCAGTGCCATATAACATTGTTTGAATGTTGTTAACATTGTAATTTCTAAGTTTCTTTCCCTAGATTTTAGTAAAACTTATTTATTTTGATTATGATAAATGTGAATTTAACATTATTTTGCTTATATAACATTAAGTGAAATCAGACCTTTTGTGCTGCATCCTAAAACATAGAAAACACCAACTAACATTAAAAAAACAACAAAACAAATGATTTAAAATGGACTAAATTCTGTAGATTTGATGAAAAAGAATACATTTTAGGCAATGTAAATACCGGTACTGATTTATTATGGTGCTTTTAATAATTTTTAATACATAAATAATCCTCAGATATTGCAGAGCTGCAAGCCAAATTCGAAGAGGATAAGAAAAAGGTGAAAGAAATGAGACAATCTAGAAAGTTCAAGCCATACTGATTTAGAAATTTTAAGATTTTGTGTGATTCTTTTTTTCTCTCCGAAAATAAAGTTTTATTGTAAAGAAAGCGTTTTTTTCATTTAAGAAAATTTTAGTTGTAACTTATATTTAAAGAAATATATCTTGAATTATGCAATTAAGAGAAAATTATATGTAACTGATGTTACTCTGTGATTAACTGGACACAAAATAGAAAAACATTTTAATGTACATTTTATTTACAAATTACACACTATTTCATCAGTCAATCCACAGTATACATCATATTGAAAAATTTCATTGCTCAGGCAGACACACACATATACAAACACACAAACGCGCCCCCCCCCCCCCCCCCCCAATATTAAATAAATAATACAAAGTTTTTCATTTCATAGAGGGTTGCTTTCAACCTGTGAAGAAATATCTAGAAAATGTCAGAAAATAATTAACAAACTTATATTTACATGTATGAAGAAACTTTCCAACAATGGATGCAATAGAAAACTTTTACAGTAAATTAAAAGATCTTTTAAAGGCTATCGAATATTAGACAGAAGAAATGTTTATGGAAAGGGCATTGAGACTTTAATGATTCCCCATCTATAAAGATAATACTAACAGGTGATAAAAACTTCATCTGGTGCTGAGTATTCCACTGACAAATTCAATACAATCTAGAATCAACATTAAAACTTATTATTTTCCAGAGAATGATAATTTCTATTCCCAACAGATGATGCTTTAGCATTATTATTAAATCTATAAGGGTTTTATGTTGCACAAAACTGTAAATCTTAAATAATGATAAACTTGGAAGTGGGGACCAAAAAAAATGGGACATTCCTCTATGCAAACTAAAGTTAGAATTTTCCAACACAAGTACAAAATCAGTCCTACCCTATGGAGCCTCAACTCTGAGAACAGTAAGAATCACACAGAAAGTATAGACATTTACAAAAATTTGTCTTGAAAGATGGAACTGAAACATAAAATTGCCAAACATCTGGAGAGGACATAACCAGAGCATGTTGTTGAAGACACCACATGGAAAAGATGGAGGTGGAAAGGGGCACACTGTAAACTCCCAGAAAACATCACCAGACAATACCTAACATGGAACCTGCAGGGGAAACGGAAGAGAGGAAGGGCAGAGAAAACATGGAGGCAAGAGATGGTTTTTGAACCGCGCTGACAACCGAACCCGAAACCAGCTTACAAATGAACTCTAATTTCACTGCGTAAGAACCGTACCAAATGAAGTCATCGCAAACTTATTAGAATTAAGAGAAATTTTTTTTTTAAACAAATGTTGTAGTTCACTACTTAACCAAAAATGCTTATTTTTTATTAAAACTAAAAAAAACAATAGCAAAAACATTTTTTTGTAAACCAAAATGATCCCTTTTTTTAAATCACCCCCCCCCCCCCCCCCAAAACATTTTTCACATAGGCTTGATTTATATTAATACACAAATTAAACAACAATATGTAGCCAACTCCTTTTCATTCAGTTTCAGCAACTTGTGTTGTTAAAAAACAAACAAAATAAGAATTGTATACCATAAATCTAATACACATTGTGTAAGAAAAGTCTCAGCGAGCATTATAGGCTGAGAGGATTGATAAGCCATTTCGAATCATACTTTCAGTAAGTACAAAACATTAAACCCAACACAAATTTATGATTCCCTATTTCTGCGTTAAATTTTATAGCTGAAGAAAAAGTATTTTCTTCTTTTTTTAGCCTTAAGTTCATAAAAATGTAACATATTTTAAATTATTTTAATTTCAATTAAAACCAAACTAATTTCAAATTGCTATAATTACAAAACATGCCGAACAGAGGTTGATGAACTGAACTCAAGCTTTAGTTGTTACTGAACTAACCGGAACTTAAGTTGTTACCAAACCAGAGGTTAAATTATTACTGTTACAGAACAGAACCCTAACTTCTAAAAGAGGGTTCGATTCCAATCTCCAATGGGAGGTGATCTTGAGGCAGACACACAAAGTGTGGGGATACACCTGTAAGCAACTGAAAAGGTAAGCACAGGACTCTTGTAGAGTCCCTATGCCCCAGGTGGGGTAAAAAGTATGAGTACCGATAAGTTTTCCTCCCAAGGAGATATTTAATCAATGTAAATGTAAAGCACTGCATCTACTTTTCCTGAGCATGTACCATACTGTTATAATTATACAATTTTTTAAAGACCTTATTTAAAAATATTTATAACACAGTCAACAGTATTTTACTTCTATTGACACATCTGACTTAACATTTCCTTGACAGATGAATTAAGAGAAATATTCATATTATTTACATGGTTTCAAGCCAACTGTGGCACACTTAACAATGGAAGTTCATTTACTATCATATAGATTTGCATCTGATTGTTCAGTGTCTGAATTCCAGAAATGAGCCAGCTATTACAAACATGTACTGTAGTATCTCAGATTGAGTATCAGATTGGATCCATCTTGTAGAGCCAACACTAGCTTGTTACTATCACAGAGTAAGGCTTTATCCCTTGCAGTTGATTACTTAACACCATGGCTAAGAGCCTATGTAGAAGAAAAGACATGATAAATAGTTTACTTAAAAGTCTAAAATGGCTATAAATGAGCTTTAATCTAATAATTTTTTTGTCTTTTTCTATTTTATTCATTCTGGACTGTTAAAGTTTAGACCTATTGTTATCTTGCAGGCATTCTAGTTCTATATTCTGTGTCTGGTGAACTCACCAGACATTAGAATTGTTATGAAATTGTACTCACCTGTTTTGAGGGAGTTTGTGTTTGGCTAATGATTCCAGTTCTTTGATTTTTCCTGTTGGGATTACACAATATATAAATTTACTAAATCCACAATCGCAACAGATCAATTATTGAAAAGAGACATCACTCACTATATTCACAGTAAAAAAATTAATTTCTTTACAAACATGAAACGTGAAAATCATTTAAATTCAACATTTATTTTAAAATATATTTGCTAAGCCTCCAAGAAATAGGGTGGTGGCCTATGGGTTGGGAACATCTTAAGCATTGAAACTTGAAAAGATTTTGAAATATTCACAAATGAGCTATAATGGAAAAAATAAAAATAAATGCAATTTTTTAAAATTTAGCCTTTAAATAGTTAAAATTTTAATATGTTTCTTTCAATTCAGTTATCAGATGGAACTCAAGGTTTTTAACCACCATGCGAATATTAATGGTTCCATTCAATTTTCTGTTCTTTTTGTGTTCCATGATTAATTTAGAGATACCACAGCATGTATTGATTTTGTGTGTGATGAGATCATATGGAGATCTTTTATTTGACCGAATGCAGATTTCAATTTTATTTATTTAAAATGAACAGGTTTTTGTATAAAGTTATATCGTATTGGCAATGATACATCTTAATTTCTTATGAGTAAGATGTTGGCAATGGATGCAAAACTATGAGATAATTTCATATAAGAAAAATATGTTTTTTAACTTATTCACTACCGGTACTTTGATATTTAAATATGGATATGACAGGTTTATTCTAAACATAACTCAGAATACTAAAATAATAACATTTGATAGATAAAGATGATGAAAAACCTAACCAACACTTTACAAAGATTGGTGTTTACCTCTATCTGCTATGTATGTCCTTGTGTTAGCAGCCACCTGCAAAATTTGGGCAAGCCTCTCTAATGCAATGTTACAAGCCAGCTCTTCCTCTTGGCTGGGGTTGGGACGAGAGACCACCTGCAGGGTTTGTGCAATGTGAGTCAGATCACTGGCGCTGATCAGGCCAGGGGACAAATTCACACAGGCAGTGAATGTCAGACTCTGCAACAAAGCTAGGTGAAGTTTCTCAAGACAAACCAGCAGGGATTCAATATGACTTTGACTTATTTGAGAGTCTGAGACTTTCTCTTTCAGCTGGCAGCATACCAGGGGGCCTCGGACACACCACCCGGTTAACCCAGGCACAGGTGTGGTGTATGCACTGTGTATAGCAGCCTGTCGCAAAGACTCACAGCACATAGTGTTGTCTTTAAAAACCCAATCACTGACATGCTGGAGGAGGGCTAATGGTGGTAAACTGTCTATGCCTGTAATATTTAATAAAAAAATAGTTTAGTGCAAATCTATCAATGTCAAAAAAAAAATGTTAAAAAGCAAGAGTGAATAAAATTTTAATTTGATGGACACAGGCAATTATTATATGGCTGAAAATTGAAAACAACTTAAGCTAAAATTGATATAAATAAAAATTCAATACTTATAGTATTACTTATAAAATTACTAAATACATACAGATAAAGTCTGTAAAGACAACACACAAAGAATAATTTTAAATAATGCCACCGGAATATTATTAATCAACTACAACTACAAGATATGATCTGGTGCTACCAAGATCATAATGGAAGGTATAATGCCCTACCTGCTACCTGTTTTACTTAATGTAATTATTTTGAGATATTGTATCCTCCAAAAAAAAAATTTACCAAAATTTTTCATGCCCATGAAAAGTATATTTAAGAAATAGTAAATTAGACTTTAAAAAAAAAAGAATTATATATGTATAGATGTTTACATTTCTAACATCATTTGGGTTTTGAGTAATTTTTATCTTCCACATCAGCATACACCAAAAGGTGGTCCTTGGACTGGCACCAGTCCCCAAGCCTTACGTTGTCGGTCCACAGAACATGAATATATCATGGTCAAATTAAAAAAAAATATTATCAATAAATTTGCGACTGTCCTTGGTGCAATTCCGAAAGTGGGCCACTGGTCTGACAAACTTTAAAATTTGGTAAACGCTATTATATGTAATTTAGGCTTACCAGACTCTTTTTCCCAAGAAAACATTTTTTTTTAAATTGTAAAAAAAAAAAAAAAAAAAAAAAAAAAAAAAAAAACATTTTTTTTAAATTGTAAAAAAAAAAAAAAAAAAAATGTAAAAAAATCTATGTACCAATTTAAATACATGTAACTTAACATATTTTGATAAATTGGTATCTTCATTAAAAATTAACATCAACTTCTGCTTCGTTCCTAAACTATATTATTGGAAAATCGTAAAACGTAGAATTATTATATATAATGGATTCTCTCTTAACCAATTTCCACCTGTTTTTAAGAAATATTTATATCTCATAAAAATGTACAAGCCCTTTTTCATAAACTGTATTTTTTGCATACAAATAAAAAAAAATCTTTGCCCGTTGAAATGTATTTTGGGAAATAAAAAAAATGTGACTTTATTTTTTAAGATTAAATTTTCACTTGCTTAAAAGGACCGAGTTTTGAGATATTGTTTCCACATATGAAATGTACTCCCCTCATTTTTTTGCACTTGAAATGTATTTTCACAATATGTTTACAATACATTTTTAATATAAACATATTATTGTTATTTTGATAAATATGTGGCCACTCCTCTGAGTTTGAACTTTATCTTTGGAAAAGTGGTAAAATCTAAATGTGCTCAGTGTTTAATGAAATCTTATCCATTGTTTTCCTCTTTTAAACTTCATTAAAATGGGCACACTGTCTTTCCTTCCCCTGAAATGTGTTTTCAAAGAAAGGTTAAATAATTATTTTAAAACTATCTTTACACTGATTGCCCCTGTTAGCATTATTTGGACTTGTAAGATATTGCTAGAGATATAAAATATGCCCACCCTTGCTGTGGCGTATATTGCGCTGCATGGGTCAAAATTAAAAAATACCAGCCCCTCCCCACACACAAATATTTTATTATGTTTTTAATAAGGATTAATATAAGCATCCCCTGGATGGTAACCCCACAGGGTATGGATGGTAACACCACCGGGTATGGATGGTAACCCCACCGGGTATGGATGGTAACACCACCGGGTATGGATGGTAACCCCACCGGGTATGGATGGTAACCCCACCGGGTATGGATGGTAACCCCACCGGGTATGGATGGTAACCCCACCGGGTATGGATGGTAACCCCACCGGGTATGGATGGTAACCCCACCGGGTATGGATGGTAACCCCACCGGGTATGGATGGTAACCCCACCGGGTATGGATGGTAACCCCACCGGGTATGGATGGTAACCCCACCGGGTATGGATGGTAACACCACCGGGTATGGATGGTAACCCCACCGGGTATGGATGGTAACCCCACCGGGTATGGATGGTAACCCCACCGGGTATGCCACCTCACACATTTTGCACGCTCCAAAACTATATTTACATTCTAAATTCCCACCCCCCTTTTATCATGCGTTGTGCTACATTTTATTTTAAAAAATATTTCAATGCATGTTTCCATATTTAATTAAAATTCATATTAAAGTTCAAACCTGTACAATAATCGGGTTTGGAGATATTGATATTAATATGTAAATATTTTTGGTGGGAGATCTAAATGCTAAGATTGAAAAAGAAAATTGAGGACGGGTTATGAAGAAGTTATGGGAAGACATGGTATAGGAATAGGAGCGAGAAATGAAAATGGCGAAAGATGGCAGAATTCTGCTTGGCAAATGAGCTTGTTATTGGGGGCAGTGAATTCCAAAATAAGAATATTCACTGGGTAACTTGGGTGTCCCCCTGATAACAGAACAGAAAATCAAATTGATCATATATCAAATTGATGGCAAAAAAAGCCAGTTCTCTACAAGATGAACGAGCAAAAAGAGAAGCTGATGTTGCATCTGATCACCATCTAGTTTGGGGAAGACTCATGCTAAAACTGAAAAAAAAAACTGGGAAGAGCCTGTTGCTAGAAGACTAAAATATAACATGTAACATAGCACTTTTGGCAAATATAAAAAAATGAAGAAGGAAATGAAATGTGCAGTAAACAACAGTCACACAAGAGCAGAGAAAACAAAATAACAGGAGAAGTATACAGAAGCCAATGGAACAGCATCAAAAAGGATAAAACAGCTTACATAGATGGTCTAATGTCAACAGCAGAAGAAGCAGCCAGAAAGGGGAACATGAAAAAGCTCTATGACATAGCAAAAAAGCTCTCATGAAGATACAAGAAGCCAGAGAGACCATTTAAAAAAAAAGGAAGGTAGATCAATAATGGAATGAAAAGAACAACAAAAAAGATGGGTGAAATACTTGAAGGAATCAGTTAACAGACCTCCAACCACAGACACACCAGACATACAACCAGCAAATCAAGACTTACAAATAGAGGATAGTGCCCCAAATAAAGAAGCAATAACCCTGGCTATAAAGCAACTTAAAATAGGTAAAGCATCCTGACCAGATAACATCACAGCAGATATGATGAGAGCTGATATAGATCCAATAGTCAACATGCTGCACCCTCTGATTGAAAAGATATGGGAAGAAGAGAGAGTTCCAAACAGACTGGAAAGAAGGATACCTAATCAAGACATCAAAGAAAGGGGATCTCAGTAATTGTGAAAATTATAGAGGATTACACTGCTGTCTGTACCAGTAAAGGTCTTTAAAAGAATTAGTTTGAATAGAATGGACCATTCGACATACTGATACAAGAGAACAGGCTGGCTTCCGCCAAAACAGGTAAAATTGCAACACTACGAATCATTGTAGAACAGTCCATCAAATGGAACTCCCCCTATACCTAAATTTTATCGACTTCGAAAAGACCTTTGATAGCCTGGACCAAAAACCTTGTGGAAACTTCTCCTGCATATCAGGGTACCAGGAAAACTAGTCAGAATCATTTAGAGTTCTTATGAAGAAATGACATGCAGGGTGGTACTCAAAGGTAGACCTACAGATGCCTTTAAAGTGGAAGCAGGAGTAAAATGAGGATGTCTATTATCCCTCTTCGATTTATCCTTGCCATCGACTCAATAAAGAAAAAATCCACAAATAATACAGTGGATACCCTGGGTACAACTGAATGACCTAGAATTTACAGATGACATTGCACTTGTATCCCACAACCAGCAACAAATGCACGAAAAGACAACAAAATGTAGCTGCCATTTCAGCATAGCTTTGACTCAGTATAAATAAAAGCAAGACAAAGATCATGATGGTAAACTCAGCCAACCAAAAGCATATCTCACTGGCAGGAACAGAATTTTCAACACAAATTTCAAAACAGTCCTATTCTATGAGCCGAAACTTGGAGAACAACAGTGAACATCATGCAGAAAGTGCAGGACCGAGATGACTGGAAAATTATTGTTGACAGCCTATGCCCCAAACGGGGTAGTAGGCATAAGTAAATTAATAACATTTTTGGTGTGAAAAATAAGTAAAACTAATTAAATGTTAAAGATACCAAGGTTAAATTGGTTTGGTGTGTTAAAATTTATTTAAGAATTGAAAAAGCAAGAAAATATATTTACCGGTACCGGGTATTTAAAATAGATGTGAAAAATTATTTTAATTTTTGTCACATTATGTTAAAATCAAGAAAAGAGCTCTTCTCATAAAGCCAATTTCCAGGGTTTCATGATAAATTGGCTTTAAAATTTATAACAGTAATTTAATACAATTATATAGATCATTTATTGATACCGGTAGTAAATAATGTCATCTCATTTTGTAATGCAATATCATAACTCTCACATTCAGATAAAATACTTTAAATAATTTTTACAATTTTATAAAATATATTTCTAATTAAAAATAAAGATTACATAAAGTTGCCTAGAAGCAGAATTTTTTTATCAGATTTTAATTTACAGGTATTTGAAATAAAAATTACTACCAGTATCATTGTTTTTAAGAAATCCATTTAGCTTATTCTTAGATGTATAATAGTTCTTGACTTACCTGCAAATGAGTATAATGATGTAACTGCAGTGACGAAATTGCAGGCAAACAGTGGACAGACTGAAGGCAAGGTGGAGAAGACATTCGAATGATCTGGGTATAATATACAATAGTCACTGACCAGTCGCTGGGTAAGACCTTTTACAACAGGGCTAAGGCTGTCTCTTTCCTGTAATATGCAAATACAAAATCATCTGTGTATCATATTATTACTATAATAACCACATGCATGAAAAAATCTTAGCGCATAGCATATTATAAAAAGTAGGAAAACACTACACTATCGTAACTCGTGATATTTTTGTTGTTGAAGAAATTGGTCTTTTCAGAAAAGGATTATCATTTTTAATGTATGCACATCTTCTAAATAGAACAGATAAGAATAAACAATAATCGTTGCGGTCCTGCCTCAGACAATTCATTGATCTACCGGTAATCTAAAAATGGTAACGAAGCCTTGTTTACATCCGACGGGTGATAAAACATTGGAAAAATTTTCATTTATGATAAAGGAAAAGAAACCACTGGATATAAATTGCTCAGTGCGTCAGATGGCTAGGCCGCGTGGGTCTCATGTAATTTTTGTTTACACAACGCGACAAAACCTGCGTCTTATCATGTGTGTTTTATGTAAAATATTTTTTACACACATCGTCCAAACCTGAGTCTTATATACAGGTGTGTCTTATAATGGGTGCGTCTTTTATGCGCGAAAATACGGTATTCATGATAATAATTATTTAAAAATAATGAGAATTATAATAAATATAACTTTTTTTACCTGCATCCATATAGCAGCACAAAATAGCACTGGCGTGCAGCGTACAGATAATGCCAAAGAAACAAGTTTGGTCAGGAGGTTGACTGTACCATCTCCATGGGCTCCAAACATAAGATTAAATATTCTGTACTTGCTCTTTTCAGGAGCCTCAGAGAAACAGGTACAAATCATATCAAGAAGATGTAGTTCTTGAACAGCTGTCAATTTCTTGTTGATTAGAAATTTAGAGAAACATTGAAATAAAATCATTATCCAAATATATACGTAATAACTATATATTTTATTTTAACTAGTTTAAGAGATTGTAATAGTAAAACAATACAATAAGCACCTTTTGAGGTCCTCTGACTGATTTGAATAAAACAAACTCTTGACAAATCTCCACAATGACCTGTTCTGTGTTAGCATTTAAACCAGGAATGGCTGGGCAATCTTGAGATATATAAGATGTCAGAAATGATAATGCTTCTCTCGTGCAGTCTGGAAAGTTGAGTCTAAATAATCTATTCAAAATATTTCCTGCCATATTTATTAAGTTGCATGTGCTTTGTATCTGAAATAAAGTTTAAAAATAGTCTTTGGACACTTTGTACATTTTTATTTTAAAACACACTTATGTGGCAATATTTATAAACAGACAATTATAATTTCCTATAAGAGCAAATGAATAAATTAATTTTTAAAATAAATTAATATATCAATGGCCCATAATTACAAGAAACAACAAAGTAGTAAAAAAACAACACTTTCAGCAACAATTATATTAAGATTGCAACCACAGTGGTAAACGCAAGTTAAATATGTTTAGTATACCACTGTAGTATGTTATACTTCTTTGCTGCAGTGGGCCTGTACATAATTTATTCATTAGAATAGACTTTAGATTTAAATAAAAATTGTTTTTTATGTTCAGGAAGACAGTAGGCTATTTGAATAATAAAATTAAAAAAACCTTACACTTATAGTCTTTAGTTTAGTCTTTAGATAGAATAAATAATAAGTTTGCTTTTGGTAAGGCTGTTAAATTTAGCTGACAGCAGCTGCTGTATAGCCTGAATAGATGAGTTAAAAAACTAAGAATTTAACTTCAACAAAATAGGCATTTTTATAAAGGACTTCGCTATTTCATTTTATTTTTATTATTTTAATGAAATTTCAATTTACTAATTAACCCTTAACAGGGGTGCCACTTACTGAAAGCTGTGAACCCTGAAATCCCTTTCTAAAAATTTCTTGAAATCTAAAACTTAACAAAAACTCATAAAATTCAAATAATTTCTTTTGCAATGATTACAACAAAACAAGGTTCCCACTCTTTTTTAAAAACAAAATTCCTTACTTTTTCCCAACTAAAAACAAAAAAATTCCTGACTATCGCAATGCAGAGTTTTTGTTGATTAATGTAAAAACAAGCATGAAATTGTCAAAGCAAAAACAACATTGAAATACATCACAAATGAACAAAATGAAGCAATTACAGTGTTTACATGTAAATATTTATTAAATTTCCTAGCAATTGCAATTTTTAAATTTATTAAGACATGAAAATTCCACTTTTGCAATGTGTTCTCTGGGCATTTTAGAACATACAAATAGCTACCACAAGTGGAAGGCATCTTTTCTTATATGGAGTTAATGTTCTCTTCTTTGTGATGAAATGATATTTTGAGTCAACACACTTTAGTGTTTAGAAAATCTCCTAAGTGAGGATTTCATATTTTTTTGACATATAAGTTGGGAGCTTGTCTGAGAAATTGCAGAAGTGGACACTTAAGATAGGTGATAAAGCTGGTCTCATTAGATGATTGGGATTTTAAACAATATCAATATTTCCAGCATAGTGTAGCACTGAAGACTTGTTCAATCATGATTGCTGTCCTGACCATCAGTCTTTTAAAGAACTGTTGGGCATTACTTTATTTTATTGAGCCTAGATCCTGAATAATGAAACAAATAAAATATATTATCATATTAGATATATAATTTATAGTATGGCATACATCATACAGTAGTAAGTCATACATAATACAGACTTTATTATATTACATTATTTTATTGAGCCTAGATCCTGAATAATGAAAAAAAAAAATATTATCATATTAGATTTATAATAAGGCATACATCATACAGTATTAAGTCATACATCATACAGACTATATTATACCCATACTGAACTAGGGTAACTTAGAGTCAGAAGAGATACTGAGATAGGTATAAGCACATGAAACAGCATCAGTTAGGATTTTCGGTAGTGGAATGGATCATTGACCAACATCCCACACCCACTTTTTTTTGTGGAGCCTCCAAGGACCCCCCCCCCCTTTTTCACCCCAAAAAAACACCCACTGTGCTTATGAATAATAAATATACCCAGAGCACAGGAGTTCATAACCATAAATAAAGACTAACTATGACTATGTACTGTTACTGAGATAGGTATAAGCACATGAAACAGCAACAGTTAGGATTTTCGGTAGTGGAATGGATCATTGACCAACATCCCCCACCCACTTTTTTTTGTGGAGCCTCCAAGGACCCCCCCCCCCCTTTTTCACCCCAAAAAAACACCCACTGTGCTTATGAATAATAAGTATACCCAGAGCACAGGAGTTCATAACCATAAATAAAGACTAACTATGACTATGTACTGTTATGTTAGGCTCACTGTTGAATTGAAGTATGAACTATTATTATATAGAAATTAAGTTTTATTAACATTTAAATGAAGTTCCGAAGTCAGTCGTAAACTAGTTCGACTAAGCTTCGCAAAAATAATATCACAAAATAATTTAATCATATTAGCCTATTTAAATTTAGAAGGCTTACTCCATAATTAAATGTAAAGTAAACTTTAAGTCTTTAATAAAAGGTTAAAAGTTGCCTAGCTCTAATAAAAAAAATACATGTCGCCTACATTACTAACAGTAAAACCGTTAAAAATCAATTTATTAAGAATTAAGTAAGACTTAACAAAGTACGCTAAGCCTAGTCATTTTAGTCAGCGCTTGGGCGAGTAGTTTTCTATTTATAATGGTTACCCAACAGTTGAAAACTAGATTCAACAAAATTATTTTCTAAATTTTACACTTTACTTACCCAAAAATCTCTTGATAGCCGAAGTGAACAGAAAAGAAATATTTCTGGTCTATCAAAGTAGTTACGGTATTCGAAACTTGTAGAGCTCAAAAGGCATGCGCACTTAATTAAGGGGAAACCACTAGTATTTTGGCAACAAAAAGGCTAAAAATAGACGAGATGGGCGATAATTTTCATGAAATATAATTTACTAAATTTTTTTTACAAATTTGTAATACAAACGAAAGTGAGATTTTTAAAAATTACACAATCCATATTTGAATAAACTGAACTGGCGAATCTGGAGATAGAGAAAATAAAAACTTGCGAATCGACAGCTGAAAAATATTTAGCCTCACAATCCAGAAGTCCGGAAAAGTGGCACCCCTGACTCGATTTTGGGCATCGATTTTTGCTGAATCAGCAATTAAAAAACTTAAAGATGAAATTTACTGCATTATTTCATTCTTTATCCGATTCACTTATTTACTTCTCTATAGTCTATAGATTAACGAATAAAGAAATATATAGCACTGAAATATTTCAGAAAAGTTCTTTGCATCTTTGTTATGATGACAATGTGATGTCCTTGGTAATTGAAAGTGGGTGATCATGACATCGCATGGCATGGACATCATGTTATATGTAATGTCAACATTAAAGATTTTACTACCTGTCACTCAACCTTTAAAAATTTCACGATCAAAATAATTTTAAAGCAAACTGAAATTACTTAGACTAGTTTGAACTACACGGAGAGTACTTCTTAAACTTGAAGAAGTAGTTTATTAGTACAGTAGTCTGTTTTTTTTTTAGCAGTGGCTAGGTAGGCCCCTACGTAACAAAGTATTACTATATTATTATTATATAGGCTTAGGCCTATATTTAAAGGTTTTAACTAAATCTACACACTTTTGCGAAAATTGACCAGTGGGCCGATGAAAGTTATTCAAAATAAAATAACTCTAATAGAAGAAAGAAAAGTGATCGCTCTGGACAGCTGCTTTGTAGCCGGATTCGTAGATTTAACAGTAGATTTTGAAGACAGGAATTAAGAGTGCTCTCCCATATCCAAAAAAAAAAACCCACAAAAAAAACAACAAAAAACCTTAGCTCTTCAGCGTTAAAAATACTACTAGGGATATGGGTACCTTTTTTTTTCTTTCGGCAAACTGTTTTAAGAAATCATGTTTTAGATTTGTTTTCGGGTTATATTTGTAAAACAATAATCAAAGTAGCCTACATTTAGCATTTGTTTATTATTATTTAAAAATCTGCATTTTTTCCTTTTCATTTTTGTAGATCAAGATAAAAATAATTGGAAGGTCGGTATTTGACAATCAACAACTGGTCATCGGTTTCAACACTAAAAACATCGTCAACATTCTTAAATAGTAGTCATAAATACATTTTTAGGAATTCGAAGAGTTAGATTATTTCTGTTCACAATATTTCATATGAAAGTCACAATTTATAATACGTAATTATAGTGTCAAAGATATTTGTAACGATTTTTATGTTGCGGAATTATGAAATGGATTCATTAGTTGTTCACTGTCTGCAATAACACAAAGCTCCCCACCGTCCCCACATGCCTTTAAATCATCAGCTAGGAGCTGTTAGAATAGCAACATCATACCCCCAACCGTTGCAAAGATGCCAGTACATGGATGCAGCAACGAAATATTACCAGAACCAGAAATCCACGCTAAACGATCCCTTTATATAGACCCCTTTCTTCTCTTTACCACTACCTCTTTGACATCCGGAACAATGATAAATGCTTCAATGTGCCTCGGTGTAACACAGTTCAATACAAACAGTCATTCTTCCCACGAACACTAATAGCTTGGAACCAACTGGACAATGCCGCCGTGGACTCGGCATCACTCGAGAGTCTCAAGGCTGCCCTGGCACCCGCTGGGAGCCGTTAGGATAGCAGCATCGTTTTCCAAACAGTTGCACATATGCCAGGACTTGGTTGCAGCAACGTGGTCTATCAGAATTAAAGGGTAACACTTTATACTCCTACATGTTATCTAAAGCCCCCCCCCCCCTTTTTAAAAAAAAACAACAAACCCATGAGCTTTAGGTTGTTTTTTTTCCCACCGCTCACAACCATTTATGTCCTCACCTGTCGTTCTCTTATCATTCGCCCATGCCGACCCGTTATCCTCACCCAAATTAATAATAGAATATATTTACCCACAAACGCATCTCTTCTACTACCTATTCTCCTCTGTCCTCATCCCCTCCGGACCTCGTACATTCTTCCTCTAAGCCTTTACACACTCTCCTCATCACCCAGCAACTATCTCACATCTAACAAACCCTTTAATGTTACCCTCCCTGGAAGATCCTTTTCTATCCCCCCCCCCCCCAACTTCTTAAGTTCTGTAAACCTGTAATATTTAAAGGGAAATAATCTTGCAATTTTATGTCGTAATACGGAATCACACGGAATTAAATTGCATGGGTTGTTTCTCTTTTCATCGCTTTCTGACAATTAACGACGTCACATTTGTTTCATGAGGAAAGAAAATTCAGCAACCGTATGCCATCACTATTAAATTAAACTTGCATTTATGATTATGTTTAGTAAAACTGAATTTACAAATTTGATTTTTTTTTTTGGCAATAATGTCTCAATATTATAGTTATCTAAGAGAGTCCCTAGAAAATCCCCCAAACAAACATTTTTTTTTGTACTTCACAACATTTAGATTTCTCGGCCTTTTGGCTAATACCAAAGTGTAGTATCTATTCCCGTCAGATTTCCAAACCTTTCTTGGTGGCTCGTGATATCTCGCTTTGTGTCTGGCCAGGCTCGGAAGATCACAGCTACAGTTTAAAAGCCCCAAGGCCCGTAGACCCGAAAGGGTCAAGAGACCCACAAAGGCAGACCTGGGAGTGACTACCTCAGTATTGGAGTACTTCTGGGGGAACGCTGCCGGGTTTCATGAAGCCACAACAAATAACACAAGCTTCAGCGTGAACCTTTGAAACCTCATACATAGGAATTTTACTTGTTTGAGAACACTATGTTCAAATTTTCTGTTGCCCGTGCAGGTCCATTGTCAAGTTTTGTGGGAAAAGCTGAGATCCGTAAGGCGCTCCCTTTGGTTAATAGTTATATTGTGGGCTTGTAGCTTATTCTGAGCAGTTACACCAGGAGAAAATGGAACAATCTACAGAACAGGCCAAACCACATAAAAATTATTATAATGTTTAAATTGTTTGCACTCACATTTACAACAACAAACAAAACAAACCAAACAACAAAACAAACTCTGTCCTACAACATAACCGGGCCCTCGGCATGGGGCTAACTGCTCCCATCCATCCCTGTGGCACTACAGCCCATGTAGGGATTTGGCCTGTCTCACTACATTATTCCATTCAGACATCCCAGCTGCTGTAGATCTTTTCCCACACTATCCATCCATCTTAGCCTAGGTCTGCCTTTGAGCCGTTTTCCTCTGGGGATTTGGTGATGCACCTTCTTCACCCCTCTGTCATTTGGCGTTTTTTCTATCTAAGTGTCCCGCCCAACATAGCCTGCCCTTTTTTATTTCTGCTACTAGCGTGGGATCCTGATATAGACTATACAATTCCTGGTTGGTTCGTATTCTCCATCCATATTCATCCTTTGTTGGTCCGTATATTTTCCGGAGAACTTGTCTCTCCCATGTGTTCTATAGGTTTTCTGCCGTTTTTGTTAGGGTCCAAGCTACAACTGGACTGATTACAGTTTTTTATATAGTTTTCTTTATTTTACTTTTGTTTTTACCTTTGTTTTTTCTGGCCCTGTTTCCGGCCAATATTCTTTTTAAAATTTCTTTTATTTTTCTTAGTAATTAATTACGTTCATTTCTTTGCATTGCTTTACGTTTTCAAAAGTGTGTTTTTGGTTTTAAACTTCCAGCGCTGCTTGTAGTGATGCGTCTTCTAATTCAATAAAGGCTTTTGATATGTCTTTCCAACTTTCTCCTAACGGTGCAGTGTCATCAGCATACGCCAAGATACTGAAGGGGTTTTACTGTAGAGAGTGCCTACTGGTTGTGGGGCTTGTGTCTCCCTCAGAAAGTAGCCTGTCATTGTTCTTTGGGTGTCAACATGTATATTTCGTATACCTCTCTCTAATGTTAGGTTAAATAGCATACAAGACAGTGAGTCTCCTTTAAGCCTCGTCTAATCTGACATTCCCTTGAATATTCTCCCTGAACCTTGATTTTGCTTCTTGAGTTGTTTAATGTTATTAAAATGTATCAGCCTTGTCAGTTTTTAGGTATGACAAACTCCTGCAGTCTCAAATAAATATTTTTTTGATGCTGTCATGGGAAATTTTATATTCCTCATAGACTTGATCTACTGGGATATTATATTCGTAACATTTCTCTAATATGCATCTGATAGTGACTACTCCCACCGTAGTTGTGTACCATTCGCTTCGATAAATGTTGAGTACATGGGTTTTATAAATTGAATCTGCCTTAAGATTTGGCTCGTTACATGAGCAATACTTATCAAAGAATTGAAAATACAATTATAAAAAAAAAACAAAAAAAAAAAAAAAAAAAAAAAAAAAAAAAACAAAAAAAAAAAAAAAAAAAAAAAAAAAAAAAAAAAAAAAAAAAAAAAAAAAAAAAACAACAACAACCCAAAGCTAGTGATACTAACACTATTCAATTTAAATATACTATTAAATTTATATTTAAAAAAATACAAAAATAGACAGAAATAAAGCTATAATTACTTACACCACTGCAAGAAAAAAATTACAATCCTTAAAATATAAAATATTAATACATATACATATACACAAATAGAGTATTGTAAGTATATTGCGTCTAATGAATCTCTAGGAAAAAAAGGGAAAACCCCCCCCCCCCCCCCATGGAAAAGCTGCCGCGTTATTTATATGGAGAAAGTTGGAACGCTCCAGAAAAGAAATTCTAGAAACTGCATCAACTATTGGCATTCTTTATAACTGATAGAAAATTAACAACCTTTTCCCAATTAAGGGAGGGGTGGGGTTGATGCATATTTAATCGATGACAGAAATCGGAGAGGGGTGTGGTCGACGAATTAGCTCTACTTTGAAGTAACATTATGTCAAGACATATGCTATAAAAAAACTATTAAAACTCTTAGCATATCAATCATATCAAAAGCATGTCAGCGTTGCGTCCTGCTAAATAAACTTTACACATCACTGGTGTGGGGATGGTGGGCAGATGGTGGGCAGATGGTGAGGTCCGTCCCCGAGTGCGAACAATTTTTTTTTTTTACTATATACTAAAGGGCGGCATTTTCGGCCATAGACAGCTTCGTATACAAGCAATTATAATAACTTGCAATGCGATCCACTAGGTGGCATCGATAGACCTCAAGCTATTTTATCAGATTTTCCCCCCCCCCCCACACACACATTTAGCCCCCCCCCCCACACACACATTTTGTGAGTGTGTCCTCCACAAAATTTGAAAATTTCACCCCCTAAATTTATGAATAACACTTCAGCAGATTGTTGGAGAACATGATCATTACATCAATGAATACAGTGACTTGAATTAAGATTGAAGTTGTTGGAGAACATGATCATTCCATCAATGAATACAGTGACTTGAAGCGGTTCAAAAAATATCAAACCAGTTGTCACCAGTTGTCACCAGTTGTCACCAGTTGTCACCAGTTGTCACCAGCTGCCAATGCAAGAATCTCCAAATGATAAACCTAACTGACCTCTGGACAATCCTCCGGGTTTGGGGTTGGGTTGGGATGTTCCAGCGGTATTACTAGTCTAGTGTCTAGTGACGGTATTACTTCTGCTTACCGGCACAGTACAAGCTTTTCACCCCTACTCATTACACGATTGCCTACAAGCAATGTTCCCTCTAAGGTTTGTTGGTTCGTGTGCAAAATCATAAAGTTGTGAGCACATTTTTACAGCATCAATTTTTTTTTTGTGCGCCAAATTGTACAGCCCACAGACACAAACACACACTTGAGTGGAAATTAGCTGCGAGG